CAAACTGAGCATGGACATGGGTGGCTAGGAGAAAGTTCATGCCAGTTACCTGGTAATGGCTGTATCTTCTGTTTTAAAGCATATTCCAATCAAACATTTTGATTTGTTGGTATTAATCTCGCTAACGATTAGCCTACCCTGTCTGGGTTTTGTACGATACAATTCTTTGAAACCCCTGTTGCATTATACACACAAACACACCAGTACACCGCAAACAGCTGGAGAGCATGGAGCCACCCCCGCCTGGCTGAGCGTCCCAGACGTGACAACACCATCACCCCAATCATGGTGACATTGGCGTCCAGAGGCCGGGGTTAAGAGTAGAACCAAGGTGCAAACTCCCACCTGCGGAGTTCGGCTATAATCTGGGTTTGTACTCTAAACCCCTAAAACCCGTTACGTTGGGACAGGGGAGAGAAGGAACCCAGCAATTTTGATGATGCAAAATGAAAGTAAATCCATAAAACCAAGATTTGAGTTATATCTAAAAAAAAACCAAAACACCAAAGAAAAAGGAGTACGGCTCCAGTCCACAGCTGGTAATAATCCAGAGAGGACCACCACTGCAACAGGGAATGAGGGATTTACACCAGTAGTGCATGGCCCTTTGGCTGCGGGAGGGACTTTGCAAACACCAGACATGCACATTCACGCAGCTGAAAGCTTTCCCCATGGCTGCTTCCGCTAATCCTGTGCCGCAGGGAGCAGGGGACAACTAATGCGAGTTTTTAATCCCCCACCACCACCCCTTGACCAATCACAGAATGGTTTGGGTTGGAAGGGACCCCTAGAGGTCACCCAGCCCAACCCCCCTGCAGGAGCAGGGACACCTTGAACCACATCAGGTTGCTCACAGCCCCATCCAACCTGGCCTGGAATGTTCCCAGGGATGGGGCCTCCACCCCCTCTCTGGGCAACCCCTGCCAGGGTTTCACCACCCTCATTGGAAAGAATTTCTTCCCTATATCTAGTCTAAACCTACCCTGTTTTAGTTTAAAACCATTACCCCTTATCAAAAGGTTTTAAACCACAGAGCCAGCCTGGTAGTCTATGGAGACCAGTCCACCAGTGCAGGTGAGCTGAATCCCAAAATGCTGACAGAGGCAGCCCCCCCAGAGAGCTGCCAGCCCCGCACTTCCCACCCACAGCTACTTTGCCCTGCGCTGCAGAGCAGCTTCTCGGAGACGCTTTCCCAGTGGGAATAACTGGGTTCCCTCCCTGCTTTCCCTCCTGACCAGTCCATTGCACTGCCTTGCAGACAGCTTCTCACTAGGTTTTTAATGCATCGGGTGTAAGACAGCAGCTTCTTTGCCTGCAGGGACGTATGCAGCACAAATCGTGCGTCCAGGTTTCTCTCAGCCTCCGTGATCCCTCCTGCCTGGCAGCTCCGGTGCAGGCAGGAGCTCCGATGGCCATGCAAAGTGGGCTGCAGGCACCAACCTGCACAGCACCATCCACAAGGGCTACCAAACAGGGTCCTGGTGACCCGTCCCGCTGCGGTGTGGTAGGACCAGGTTTTCCCTGCGGGAGTGTCCATCAATCCATGGGGACACTATGGTCTTAACACGCTCAGTCGTTCCTGCTCCGAGAGCAATCAGAAATCCAGCATAGGCACCTGGACATGCAGGTCGGTGCCTGCAAGAGGAGGAAGCAGGAGATGTGGACTCAAGCGGAGGGGAACCCAGTGTGGCAACTGCGTCCAAACCAGCCACGTCATGCAGCCCCCAGGCAAAACCGCCAGAGGATCATCAGTTGTCTGCAAAGTCAGTGCAACTGTTCCCGTACAGGGTGACCAAATTCAGCTTCTGGGAGCACTGCACAAGCTTCATGCTAACCAGACTTAGGGAAAGCCCTCAGGACCAGTCATGGTATCGCTGCCTAGGGAAGATTTTAACACGTTTCCCTGAAGCATCTGGTGCTGCCGAAACAGAGGGCACGTACCGATGGGGTTGCGTCCCTGCATACGAAGCCCAAAATGAAGCCTTGGCTCCACTGCCAGCTCCAGGAAAGATTTCACCAATACACAGGAAAGTGAACACTGTTTTTCCCCCTCTCTCTACTCCCCAAAAGTTAGGACAGAGTGGTGAGAAGCTGCAGCTGAGTGGCAGGAGGAGAACAGGCTGGGCACGGGCACTTCAACCTTCCCAGCACTGGGGGCACCCAGCGGGATAGGAGCACTGCAGATCTACCAGCACACTGGTCATAAGCCGGCTTCCCAACTGCTCTGGAAAGAGCACACATGGCATTTCCCTCTGGTTTCAAGCCTCTTGGCTCTTTTATAGCCCCCTGCAACCCTTTGCTGTCCCATCTCTTCTCTCCACTCCCCCTCCATCTGCAGCAGCATTAATACAAATCACTTGCACAGCCACTTACACTCCCTTTCATATGAGCTCAGCAGCCTTTTCCCTTCCCTGGAGCTCTAAGGTTTAAACCTTGTGCTCTGAGTAGCGACAGCAAATCCAGCAGCAAACGTTCTTTGCAAGCAAGAAGGAACGAGAGCTCTTTTACCAAAAGCTTGATGGAATTCTCCTCCAGCAACTCGAACGGCGCTTGCTCATTGCAGAGTGACCAGTGAAGCTTGTTCGTGCCATTTTTCTGGGCTAGGAAGTGTCGTTCTCGGAGTGCGACACGGCACCGGCAGCAGAGAGGGGGTTTCCAGCCATCCAGCTCGGTGGACTAGCATGGAAGTGCATCACAGATTTTTACGTAACCAGTGGCTGTGCTTGCTCAGACTTGCCATACATGGGAGTTTTCTCCATTCATTCAGTGAGGGGTGGGTGGGAAGGTTTTAACAGCATTTGAGAAAACAGGACTGGAGGCAACTGGGAGCTGCAGGAGTTGCAGATGTTGGCCATGCGAGCCCAGAGGAACCATTCCTTTTGTGTAGGCACAGGTGCATGTGTGTGTCCTCAGAGGCTGAGACACAAAAATTTTGTCCTGCTCTAGCATGCATTTGAAGACCCTGATGCCACCACTCTCACACACATCTTCCTGGACACATCTTCGTTTCTTTTCAAAACAGGGGTCTTGGTAATCCTTCCCTACCTGACAAAACCATGTCCGTAACCCTGAAGGAGCAGACTGCTTTGGGAGGGAAGCAGACTAACAGATTATTCAAATTTTGCCAAGAAGGGAAAAGCTGAACTGGGATCCTGCTTGCGCTGCAGAGCAAGGGGTGGAGGGCAGCGAGGTGTCCATCAGCCAGAGGAATTGCTGTTAGCAAGGGGCAAATATCAAGGCCCTTTTTGTGCCATATTGTTTGCTTTCTGCAGAATGTTATGTTTGTCTTGCTGGCTACTTCTGGGATATGTATGAAAGAGCATTTTTCATGCTCAGTGAGTTAATTATTAGCCATGGACAATTGGCCACTGAACAATTAGAAATCATAATACAAGGAAGAAAGCACAACAGAACACCTTTCATCGTAACACGGAAATAAAAGCCTTTTTCTTCTTGCCGGGAATTACCCTTAATAAAATCGTCACTTGACACCCTGAAATCAGATTCCTCTGCATGTTTATAAAGACTTTCCTTGGCATCTTTCATTTTCTCTAGAACTTGGAGCATGCAGGTAGATCAACAGCCCTGCTCAGGAAATGTACATTCCCACCAGTGCACCATGCGGTCTCCAACAGCATGCTCCATTCAGGCCAAAGAAAACAGTTCAGGGAATTAAGAGCCTTGGCTTCCTCTGAGACATCACTCAGCCCAAAACAAGGGGAAGGTCAGAAACATTCATCCTGAAGACTATGGGCACATTTCAAGCAACACGCAGTTTGGTTTGACATTCCCTAATAATTAGCCGTAATTTTGAGTCCTGGCCAAGGGTTAATTTTGGTGCAGTAGGTTTGTTGGCTATACAGGCAGGACAGTGCTTTGCTGGTTTAAGTCTGGTTCTTGGAGGGGTGGGGGGTGAGGGGTAAATCCCTGCATCTCACTAACTTCACCAGCAGTGTGACAATATTACCCTTTTCCCCTGTTGTGTGTCCTTGAAGATACCAGGGAAACAAAGAGCAGTAATTAAATACAGGCCTCAGACAGGACCTATGGTCTATAACATAAGGAAGAAATTTGGATATAAGGAAGAAATTTTTACAATGATGGTGGCAAGACACTGGCACAGGTTGCCCAGAGAAGTTGTGGATGTCCCATGGGTGGAATTATTCAAGGTCAGGCTGGATGGGGCTTTGAGCAACACGACTTAGTGAAAGATGTCCCTGCCCATGGCAGGGCTTGGACTAGATTATCTTCAAAGTTCCTTTCCAAACCAAACCATTCTGTAATTGTGTGAGAGCAGGTTTTCCTAAGGAGCGGTTTTGGCACTCGGGCTCACAAGTGAACAAGCCTTCCTTTCACTGCATGAACAACACTGAAATAAAATATGACTATCAAACTATCAAAGCTATCAAACTACTAGAAGCAGCATTATCTCCTGGCAAGGGTTGAGTGAGCAGTTGAGCTCTGGGTTGCCAACTGACTCTCATGCCTGCCAGGGCTTGGTGGCTTTTGGACCATTTTTGGACTTCAGCCTTGTGACGGGCTGTTCTGATTTACAAAAAGCAGACACCATTTCTGATTTTGAATCAAGTCCCTTCTGGTTTGGCCAAAATTGCTTTTTATGCTGTGCACAACGCTGTTGTTGCCCGCCTGTGGGACGCTGTCCCTGGGGCACTCTGCTCCGACAGACACGTTAGTGGCTGGCAGGCATCGCGTTAACAGGGTTTGTCATAAGAACAACTCCCCTCAAGAGAAGATTGGGGTGTTGGGATGAGACCAACAGGAAGTCATGGTGCCATGCAGCAACACAGGCAAGATCAGAGTTGTCAGCTCCCTCTTTCCCATTCAATTGCATGACAGAAGCTATTAAACGCTGTGTTTATCTCTAGCTCAAGTAACCATAACCCTCAGATCCTCCAGGATTATCAGATGACTTGATCAGTTAACAACCATTTTGCACATGTGATCATTCACCAACTTCTGTGCCTCTTCCAGGGAATGCAAGAAAAATGACTTCACTAGCGTTCATCTTCCTGCTCGCTTTTGTCCCAGCTGAACCTGCAAGCAGCAGATACCTCCCCAAGGCAGCAAGTAAGTGTAACCTGTCTGGGGCACAGGGCTTACGGGCAGCCTTGGACCAGAGCTGGCATTACTAAGGGGACAGCAGGGTTCAGGGAGCGTCTCTACCCCATCAGTGCCCATCACTGCCATGGGACCTTTCGGACCCCATGATGCTGCCCAGCCCTGGGTCCACACCTGCCCCGGCACACCCAACCTGCTCTGCCGTCCCATCGGGTTGTGTAGCACAGTTGACATTTACAGCCAACATGTTTTCCTCTTGCAGTCTCAAGCCCCGTGTTTGGACCACGGCAGGTATATGGTCTGGTCAACGGGTCAGTTACCGTGGAATGCTTCTACCCTCCCACTCGCGTGAACAGACACGACAGAAAGTATTGGTGCCGGGAATCGTCCATGGGCTGCATGACCATTGTCTCCACCAGTGGCTACACCGCTCCAGGCTACCAAGACAGAGCCTTCATCACTGACTACCCACAGGCAGAAAACTTCCAGATCAATATCTCCAGGCTTACAATGGCAGACACAGGCACCTACCAGTGTGGGATTGGTATCAACGGCAGAGGCCTCTCCTACAAAGTCAATCTGGATGTTTCTAAAGGTAATTACAGTCTTAGGGCTCCTTAAAGTATTATTTTCTTTTACCTTTTCCCCCCTTTTCTAATAAGGCTCCACAGATAACCTGTCCAGGTTCCAGGAGCTCAAGATGCTCCATGCTTTCAGGAAACAACAATTTTTATTTCCCCACCTGTGCTCTTACAGAATGAATTTTTTGACCAAAAATGCAGCATAAAAATCAGATTCAACAAGCCTCATCTTAAGGTCACAAACATTGCTGACTCCCCCCCCCCCCCCCAGCCACTAAAATTTAGGGAAATGCAGTCAGAGGGCAGAACTGCCTGTCACTCCAACGCACCCGCCAACCCATGGCTGAGGCTGCACAAGCCAAGCCCGTGCACAAGTCCACGAGAGCACAGCGTGCAGGATGGCACTGGGCAAGGCCCAGGGTGCAGAGCACAGCGAGAACTCGTGGCAGAGCCCCTGGCAAGAAGGTGCTGGGAGAAACCCTGCTACAGAGCAGGCAGTGATAGAGCATAGAGACCTCAATCCTGAAATATGGCATGGGGCAAGGCATGGGGCAAGGCATGGGGCAAGGCATGGGGCAAGGCATGGGGCAAGGCATGGGGAGACCATGCTCCAACCAGGAGCAGCACATGATCATATAATATAGCAAAGTCAAGAGAAACACTAAGCTAAAAAAAAAAAAAAGCCTTCAGGGGCACAGGGGAGTCGCACACAGTTACCAATGGAGCAGGCAGCAGGCGCTGACTGGTGTCGCTGTACGCACAGGTCCACACATACCCGAGGGAGCTGAGCTCTTCTATGTGAAGCTGCACGGGACTGTGACCATGTCCTGCAGCTTTGGGAACAGTAGCGTGAGCATGAGGAAATTCTTGTGCAAACTGGAGAAACACAGTTGCCGTAACATCATCGATAGCCATGGAATGGTTGACAAGGATTACATCGGGCGAGTTCTGCTGAGCAACGAGAAGCCTCTGGGCTCATTCAGCATCACGATGACTCAGGCAGACTGGGAAGACTCTGGCCTGTACCTGTGCGGGGTCGGCGTCTATGGGCAGAGCGGGGAGACGAAGGAACTGGATGTGCATGTTTATGAGGGTAAGCTATTCCCAGTCGGTTTTCCCTTCATCTCTGCTTCTCTTGAGAAGCATCATTAGCAGTCTTGCTTTATTTAACAAGAACTTTAATTTCCCTTTGCAGAGTGCCATTATCTTAGCCCCCCATCTAGATACTTCTTTCTATTTATTTAACTATCTGCAATCCTTATTAGTGATGGTTTACTACATTACATCGAGACTTAACTTTCCCAGCGGTGGCTAGCTATCTCCCCCAGTCCGGCTAGCCCCAAACTCCAGAAGGCAAACTCTGCCTACCGGTTTGAGACAAACAAACTGCCTCTTCGAGTCTTAAATCTCAAAATAACAGACATAGAAAGGAAAAGATCTGCCCTTCCCCTAGCAAAGGGAGCAAAACTTTGGAATGTCAGTACACAAAGACAACCACCACCCGGTGAATTTGAGTGACAGACCCTTGAGGGTCAGCTCCTTGCAGGGCCAGGACAGGCTCCCACCATCCTCACCCCTGAGCTTCGCCTAGCCCTAACTTTAGCCAAACCAGCTTTGTTTGATCTGATAACATTTATTTGCTTGGGAGAATGCCACATGGGCAAAAGTTAGACATGTATAGCTGCTCATTTCATTTCTATCTCCAGAGACAAGTGTTCCTCAAGGAAAGCCCACAATATTTGGAGTAAAAGGAAGTTCAGCAACTTTTGATTGCCACTATGAGGTTCTAAAAACGTCTGTAGAGAAGTACTGGTGCAAGTGGAAAGAGATGGGGTGTACTCGGATCATAGACAGCTCTGGGTTTGTGTCGCCTGCGTATGAAGGAAGAGTGGCCATGTTCGACAGCCCCAATAACAAGACACTCACCATCATCCTGAACCAGCTGAAGGACAGGGACGCAGGCTATTTCTGGTGCATGACAGATGAGGTGAAGGAGCAGCAATCATCAACAGAGCTGAAGATCATAGAAGGTATGAGCTCGCACCTTGGCAGGTCTCTGCCTGCTCAGCAGGTAAAAAACAGCCTCCTCAGCACTGCCAAGGAGCAGGTCTGGCTTTTGGGGAAGAGATGAGAGGTCCAGCTCCAAACTTTTATCTCATAAGGCAAAACATTGTGCCAATTGCCCCCGCCCAGTAGCTTTACAATGGAAACACAAGGTTTCCATTCTATGGGAAAGCGTTCACAAGTTTCTCATGCAAGTATTCCTTAAGCCTCTCAAAGAACCCCCCAGCCTTCACCCAGAGATGCATATACAGCACCCTTAACATTAATTCAGCAATGTAATGAGCGCTTCCCCCTCAGATATATATCTCTTAGTTCACCATCTCTAGCAGCACCACTACCTGTTGACTACCATTCCCACCACTGACACCACTACCATCAGCCTCAATGTTCTGTTTGCCCTTGCAGGAGAACCTGGACTGACAGGAAAGAAGGAAGTGGAGGCACAAGTGGGTTCACGGGTTGATTTAACTTGCTCTTATCCATGCAAGTACTACTCCTACGAGAAGTACTGGTGCAAGTGGAGCAACAACGGCTGCACCACCATGCCTGCTTCTGACCAAAGACAGCCGGGGCCAGGCGTTACCTGTGACACTGACAACAAGACAGTGATCCTAAGCTTTGACTCGGTGGCAAAGGCAGACGAAGGGTGGTACTGGTGTGGAGTGAAGCACAATGACGTCTTCGGGGAAACCATGGCAGTCTACCTGCAGGTGACTGAAGGTGAGCACCAAGGCGAAGGCAGGCAGGGGCTTTCCTGCTCAGGGCTGTGAATCATGCTGCCTTCTGCTGCGAGAAAAATCCTCTCTGTATCCACTAGGCTGCAGCACCTCAAAACAGAAGCGCCCTCATCCAGGCAGCCTCCCAGACTAGGTGCCCAGATCACCCTGATTTTGCACAGCTTGTTGTAGAGGTTTTCATCCACTCGCTGGTTTCTGTTTCCTGGTCATAAACCCCCCCACCAGTCTAAAAATCACTTCCACACCATTTTTACTTTTTAACCCTGTCCTCACTAATTATTGTCATTGCCATTTGTAGCATCATTTAGTTTAAGCAACATCTGACACCCATCAGGTGAAGGACCGCATGTGGTGCGGAGACACATCTTGCTCCAGGGACCCGGTTATCTTAATAAACAAGCAAACAGCAGGGAGCAGGAGAGGAAGAGCCATCGCCAGCTCCCCTGGAGAGCAAGGGCTTAGTCTCAGCTTTGGTGCAGTATCTTATTTTTCTTGGGAAGGAATATTGTTAGAAGCAGAGCAGAGAAAACGCGTAGCTCTAGGTATCCCCCACGCAACCATCCTAAGGGGATGATGGCAAAAGTGAAAACAGAGAGAAACAGCCCCATCTCACTGCCTTTGGCAGGCAAAGAGCTAGAAATAAAAGCAAACCAAGTATTCAAACTTTGTTCAGGGAATACTGGAGGCAGCCTTCTCAAAAGTGTACAGGCAGAGAGAGCCTACTTGAGATGCTACTGCTGAGACTCTTCTCGGTGGTGCCCAGCGCCAGGACAAGGGGCAATGGGCACAAACTGAAGCAGAAGAGGTTCCAGTTGAACGTGAGGAAGAACTTCTTGACTTGGAGGGTGCCCGAGCCCTGGCCCAGGCTGCCCAGGGGGGCTGTGGAGTCTCCTTCTCTGGAGATATTCAACCCCCGCCTGGACGCTGTCCTGTGCCCCCTGCTCTGGGTGAGCCTGCTTGGGCAGTAGGGGGGGACTGGGTGAGCTCCCAAGGTCCCTTCCAACCCCTGCCATGCTGAGATTCTGTGAGATTTTTGCAAGAGATTATTTCCAATGAGATTATTTCAGATCTCTAAACCCCATTTTAAAGAGCTTCTCACATACAGCCCAAACCCCACGCGCACCAAATACACCCAAGTAGCGTTCGTGTCACCACCCCCGTGCTGCTGCTCTCACGCCTAACAGCTCTTCTCCCCCGGGACACACAGGCAGCCCTGCCAGCCACGACCTAGATCTCCTGGACGTCGATGCCCCCAGCCACGGCGAGGGTGGCTTTGTTCCCCAAGGAAGAGCTGGGGTGGGAAGCATAGCTTCCTCGGAAAGGTTAGTTCTCTCCAAGCTTCTGTCATTTATATTAACCCGTTGTTGGTACTGTGTTTGCACGCTGCATGGCTGGTAGAGCAACAAACAAAATTCTTGTCCCCAAAGAACTCGGCTCGAAACGCCAGAGGAAAAGCAAAAAAAAGTCACAGCAAAAGGCAAGGTCTCTTGAAATTAATCTCTAGCTCAAGAAAATACAGACCCAGAAGGGAACAATTAGAGATTCCAGGTACAGAAGAACTGATTGAAAATAATTCTGTCATGACTAGAGCGCTTTCCTTCACACGTTTATAACCAAGCTACTGATGTAGCTGGTTTGGCACAGCCTCTGGCCCACGTTATTTGTTCCCCTGCAATGTGCTGGGATCAGCACATTAGTTCATTAACTGAACTGCATCGTGCTCACTCATTTACCATCCTATAGAGATTTTAGACTGCTGGAAACTCATATACATCATTCAGTCTTGAATAATTTAAAAAAAATATTGAAGTTTTTCACAGCTTAGCGATCTCTCTCCCTCCGTTCCAGCTCTGCTGAAAGCCGCGGCCCCCATATAGTTCTGTTAGTCCTGGGCCCTCTTGGTGCTGTGGTCCTGATCCTCGCCACAGCTTTTGCCGTTTTTAAATACAGGCAGCTGAAGAGATCTGGTGAGTCCCTGCCTTTTCTAGTCTCTCAGGAATTGCCAGCAATATTAAGATGAAGGCGATACCTTGTGCACGCTCCCGTCTCTGCTGGGCTGAGCTGCTCCCCTGGTGCCCCCTCATGCAATGGGCAGACAAGGGGCTCTGCTTCCCGCGCTGGCCCCATCCATACGGCTCCAACACCCAGCACAGAGGGTGCCCAGGCTGAGCCAGAGACCACCCCTCCATGGGCTTTGCACGTGGCATTGCACAGGGTCTCCTCGCAGAAGGGCAGCTCGGATGCCAACGCGCTTGCACCGACTGAGCAAGCGTGCAGGATATTTATCTCCCCCCCCTCCCCCCCACCTTAACAGACCTGGTGTCCGTCGGGAGCTACAGGACAAACATCAGCATGTCGGACTTCGAAAGCGTGAAGGAGTACAGCGCAACCAATAACGCCTGCGTGAAGGAGACCCAGGAGACACAGATAGGAGGGGACGGTAGGCTGCTGACTGATGGGCTTGCTCTCCTGCCCCGGGGCGAGGGGTACTGGGGAGGAGGTTGCAGAAGGACCCTACAAAAGCCACGGAAATACCTGCCCACCAACGGCTCCCACACCCTAACACTTCCCTTTCTCTCCCCGCAGAGTTAATCACCACCACGGCCGCCCCAGAAAGCGCTGCTGAGACAAAGAAGGCAAAAAGGGTAAGAGGAGGCAGGAGAGAGCCCACTGACCTGGGAAGCACCGGCACAGCTCTCCAGCCTCTGCCAAAGGAGCTGACCTCTCCCAGGGGCCTTATTTATACCCAGGTGCTCTCCATCCTACCTGGATCCAGGCACCTGCTGCAGATCAGCCTCCATGGGGGGACCTTAACCCTCTCCTGACCCCATATTTTAGCAGGCACAGTAACACAGTACACCAAGCCAGCCCCAGGTAGCATCAGGAAGGTTGGGGTTGGGTTCTTACCATAAATCTGAAACACTGGGATAAGCAGACGACCAGGGACCAGAGTGCATCCCACCTCCCCAGCCTTCCTTCCCCAGCGCTGTGCTCCCACACCAGGACAGAGGTGGGCAGGGAGGTCTCTGCCATCAGAAGGGCTGTGGCTTGCTCTTGTGGCCCTGGCAACCCCCTGCCTCCCCCTGCCTCCCCTCGGGTCAAGCGGCACCACTCAGCAGTAACCAAAGGTGCCAGATACAAGACCTTCTTTTTAAAAGTCCCCAACCAAAGGCAATACCTAAGTGTTGTAAGGGCCAAGAGCTGAACTGGAGCGATAAAGGAAATATCGGAAAACCAGTAAAGCCCAGCAGCTTTAGGACAGATGAGCTGGGTGCTGACATGTAGGGACAGGCATGCCATGGAGTCCCAAACCCGCAAATGTTTGGGGTCTTCCCAGGGCCCCAAGCAAAGGCGTGATGCTCTTGCATGGGCACTAGTGTGACCCTCCGGATTGCCCCGCTTGCCCAGTCTGCCCATAGCATCCCAAGCAGCTCACGGCCCTATGGTGCTGCCCATGTCCTTTCCCGTGCCGTGTGTTGCTGTCCATCCCCAGCCACCTAACGGTGTCCTCCTGTCCTTCCCCAGAGCTCCAAGGAGGATGCTGACCTTGCCTACTCCGCCTTCCTCCTCACCTCCAACAGCATCACACAGGGCGGCACTGAGGGGGAAAGCGCTGCCCCAGCCGTGGCCCCCCCGAACTGGGAGGGACGGATCTGAAGGCAAGAGACAGAGAAGCAGCAGCAACTGGGACCGGCTTTACCTTGAGGATCAGAGCAAGATATCAGCAAAGCAGCATTGCTTATTGCTACCGCAATTTGCCATAGCTTGACCTTTTTTTTTTTGCTTAAATTCAGCTTCAGGTGGAGACTTAGGAGGAATTGTGTGATGCCAGGTGGGGTGGCTAGGCTGGAGGTGCAGGTCTGAGCGAGCAGGTTGGACTGGGAAATGGCAGAAGCTTGAGTGCCTTAGCCCACCGGCAGCCCCAGCCCCACCAGTGCCCTTCCACCACTGTGGGCTCTGAAAGGCCGGAAGACGCATTTAAAAAGATCTCATTTTCTTTTAAAGGCAGCTGGAAAACCCTCTAGAATGACTCGCGCTTTTGATTCCTCTAAGCTTTCTCATCCAGAGGGCAGTACCTGCAGACCAGACACGGTCTGAAGTGTTTTTTATGCACGAGCAATAAAAAGTACCGCTGGCTTTCAGCAGACCGCGGGACTCGCAGTCTGTGGGAGGGCATGGGGAGAGCACACCCGAAAAGGCACAGCGAGGGTGCATTGGGGGCGCTGGGGGGGTGGCTTTCTCCTCCCCGTACTGCAGCACTACAGCATCGCATCTGGTGTTGCGAACGGCGCGGAACGGTAGAAGAAACCCACAATTAATGGAGCTAAACAGGAAATGCTTTGAGTAATGGCATGAGCATTTTCATCAACAGCAGGAACCGATCACAGAATGACATTAATTAGTACGATAACTTATCAGCAGCCTAGATGGCTGATTAGGCACTAGGCACCGGTGTCCACTGGCACTGTGTTTGCATAGCACAGACCAAATTCCCAAACCAACAATCTCCCATTTCTGACCTGGGGTCAAGCCCAGTCCATGCTCCTCCGCCAGAGAACCACCCACGCTGAGGGTGGCCTTGAAAACCCACCCTTCCCTTAATAAACCTGAGCCATAGATCACTCACACATTTTTCTCTGGCTGACTTCATGTTTGTCCAGGTGGAAATGAGGATGATTGCAATTAAATGATGTCTCTCAGCTTTATTTTCAAAAGCTGAGGACGAAACTGAGAAAAGCAATTTATTGATGATGGATTTCCAAATAGCAGCGTGAAGCTGCTCTCTGTCAGTTAGATGTGGGTGCAGAAAGCTGAATACCCCGCAGATAAAGCAATGTAGGAAGCAGCAATGACAAAGAAGTTGTGACAAAGCAGAGAAGTCATTTTTCCTGACCGCAAGGAATGGGATGGGCCGGTGCCTGCCTGGCTAAGAGCGGGGCTGCGGGGGTGTCTGACAGGGCCAGAGAGAAGGGGCAGAAACTGCATGGATAAAGTCAAATTCCTGAGCCTGTCTTGGCTATGTGCAGCTCTGATAGCAAGCCATAAAATATAAAGAATGAGGAGCATCACCCTGGCCTGAGCTGATGGCCTTACAGTAACACCAAATTTCTGATTTAGTAAAATAACAGCCGCCCTTTAAAATGCAAAAGGTACGGTAGCTCCACACAGTGTCAGGCAACGGCCGTTTGCATCAGCCATAGAGTTTTCATCAAGGAAAAAACCCAAATTATTCCTGAATCATGGACCTCCCCACGATGGGCGCCGAGATGAGCTTTGCTCGCTGGGAGGAGGAGGGCAGCAGCTCCAGCAGCATTTGTGTTTCCCCTCCCAGCCCTGCATCTGTGTGTTCAGGCTGCTCTCACCTCCCCACTGCAATAGCCATCCCCTTACTGGTACCAGGGCTAGGACCCCGAATGGCAGGCTATGGCTCATCTGCCTCATCTCCCAGGCTGCATCCCCCCCGGCAGCCCGGTGGGAAGGGGCTTGGATATCCGAAAAAGTGAGGAGGGGCCAGGACAGGTCTGCGCCTGTCTGGAATTGCTGGAAGCGGATGAATTCTGGTGCAATAGGAAAGGCGTGAGCTTGGGAAGTGTCCCTGGGGGTAAGCAGTCATAAAGCTGCAGGAGAATGCTGAGGTTTGGAAATTTCTGAGAGGAGAAAACCCCTTTCACTCTCCCTTCGCAAATCTGCTTCCTCTTCAACCTGCCCACCAAGCCTCCTTTTCTCAGCTCCACTCCTCCCGCCCCGCGCTGGGAGCCCGGAGAATGAGCTAAAATCCGGGGAGAGGCACGGAGGGCGAGAATCGTGGGTGGGCTGAGCATCCTGCCGGGCAGCCCTGCCTGCACCCCGCGGCTCGCTGCCTGCTCCCGGCGCCTGCTCCTTCCCACCGCTGGCACTTCCAGCTGGCACCTCACTTCCAAAGGGACATGTCCCCGGGCTGCTGCAGTGCTCTGCGGTGGATTGGGAAAGTGTAAACTTAGTCTGATATGAAAGCAATAAAACATGCATGGATTGAGGCATGCAACCCACCGCACAGGATACAAAAATCAATGAAATCTGATTAATAATAATTGTGAGAGCATAAGCTGAGGATGTGGAATAAACCCCACACTTCTCACTCAAGCTGTGATGCAGAGCCCACCACAATCAATGGACAGGTCCACAGGGACCTCGCCAAGCAGCCCCATCTCCTTCACCACCAAACATGCCGACTGATGCCCTTTGGTCAGGACGAGCGGTGGTGTCTCACTGCGTCACTGCTTCATTCCTAATGGTCTTTCTTTAACAGAAAATCATGGTGCGTGCAAAATATCTCATTCTTAAATGGTTGATGTCAAGGGTGCTGCTGTTGAAAGATCGGCTTTCATGAACACTGACAGAGTGTGGAGGGATGCATTCACCTGCTCATGCCCTGGCACCGGGACAAATGAAAGTCACACAGCAAAAACCCATGAGAAAGCAAATTAAAAGAATCAAAGCCCTGAGAGGCTTTCCTTTGCCGTAAGCGAGTATTTGAGGAAGGATAGTGAGCAATCAAGATCTTTCCTTTAAAAGTGATTCACCAAATCCCGCTCAGCGTGAAGCACATGCATGTGTACTATAGGCAAATACTGGTGAGCTCACCCAACCAGGTCACCAGCCAGGCCTTTTGGGGATGGGACAAGGAGTCTCCTCCTCCTCTGCAGCTCTTCATTCTGCTGACGCCTGATGAAAGGCGCAGCGCCCACCGGACTGATGCAAGGCTCCGGTGATGACAGAGGTCTTGACCAGGGTCCTCCCTGTGATGGGGAAGAAACCAGTAACTAGGTTTTCCTTGAGGATATGAGGACCTTATTCCATAACAACAAAATCCTGTTAAAGATCTTCTTCTGCGGCTAAAGCCTCCCCTGTGTCACCTCTGTAGCATCATTAGAATTTGCCCAAGCTGGGAACAGCCAGCCCCTCCATCCATGCCAGCTGCTGAAGCTTGCCCATGGGCAGGAAAGGGGGAGCTGGAAGGTGTTGGACTGTCCCCTGGGAACAGGGGTGCTGAGAAGGGGGTTGTGGAGGCCTGAAGGGTTCAGACCTAGAAGCAGTGACTTGACCCTAACAGTAACAAGAGCTGCTCAGGGCCAGGGGAGAGCGTGCAGCGCCCTGGTTGCCACCACAGCCAGCCGGAGCTTTGGTACACCTTGCTCAGCTTAGCAGATCCCTAAAGCAAAATGCACCAAGTCAGAGATCTCCCCTCCAGTCTTACTCAAGCCTCGTGCCTAACGCACGCAGCAGTATGACTTCATCACTTGAAATATTAGAACTAGAGCGCTACCAGGGACATAAACATCCAGCTGCCCTCCAAGCAGCTTGTGCTAAGCATCCAAGCAGCATTCACCTGGGCCCTGAAACTAGGAGTGTGTAACACCTCCTGGCTGCTTGGAGAGATGATAGAATCATAGAATCATAGAATCATAGAATCACAGAATGGTTTGGGTGGGAAGGGACCCCTAGAGGTCACCCAGCCCAACCCCCCTGCAGGAGCAGGGACACCTTGAACCACATCAGGTTGCTCACAGCCCCGTCTGCTGGGGGAGGGGTCTCCACCCCCTCTGTGCGCAACCCCTGCTGGGGTTTCACAACCCTCATTGTAAAGAATTTCTTCCTTAGATCCAGTCCAGACCTACCCTGTTTTAATTTAAAGCCATTACTCCTTGTCCTGTCACAGCTGGCCCTACTAAAAAGATTTTCCCCATAATCTGGGGTGGTCACCCATGATCTGGGTGGTCTTGGTTCATTTACTATCACATCAGCCCTCTGCCATCGTCAGATGCTGCAGCGATACGTGTATTAGCACCTTGTGGGAAAACATGGTGGAAAAGGGATTTAGAGCATGCAGAACCAGTGGGTACCAGCAATGTGTGTGCAGCCACTGGTGGCTGAAAGAGCCCCAAAGGGGTGAAAACAGACCAGAGCTATACATTATGCACAATAAAAATGGTCTTGCGGACAAGCTGGGGTGATTTAGTATCATTCAGGTCTAAACTTGAGTCTCTCTGGTGTGCCAGGAATGCTGCATTGGGATGCTGGCACTACCGGGAGTGACAATACCTGCTGCCAAAGGGCACCACGGTGAAGTCTGAAAGTTTCACCAACGAGAAACCTATAATTCCTCAGAATTTTGACAGACTCAGCACAGTTTCAAGTGGGGTTTATTTACAGTAATTGCAGCACATTTCCACAAAACTCACTACTGGGTGTCAGTAAATTACATAATAAATCCAAGAACCTTTTGCTATTCAGCAACCACATATCTTGCATAGAAAGTTTTTCTTTTACTGATAAGGCAGAAAATATCATCTCAAAAGGAACCACAGCTTTCTAAGGCCTGACATACCTGCTAGGACCTATTCTTGGAAGTGTGTCTCACCCTGTGCACCTTGTTTCAGCCAGAGCAAGCAGCGGTGGCAGCAGTCACTAAGACTGAGCCCAGGCTTACGAGCGCTGCTCTGCAGCATTAACGACACCAGAGCAGTTCCAGCAGGCACTCAGCACTCGTGAATATACATCCCCTACACAAAAATTTTAGAATGTAAACAATACTTTTATTAAATGATCACAGCTTACGCCTGCTAGCAAGAGAAACCCTTTCAGATTTCCCCGCGGAGAGCATCCTTTGACAGAAGTCAGCTAGGCAAGTGCTATGCCGACCCCATCAAACTCGGTGTTTCCAGCTTAATGCAAGACTCTGCTGATGCATTCGCCGATGTACCTGGCCAGCAAAACACCCTGGGGTCTGGCTGAACACAGCTGCAATCGGGGAGAAAAACTGCACTGATACAGTACGTTATCGTCCCATTCACCGCTGGGGCGTGCGATGTCCCAGCAGCTTCCTCTGCCCCAGGCGCTGGCGGGTTGCTCACGCCCTCTGCTCCCTAAGGAGATTTCTCCATCCAGTCTAGCAGGATGTCCAGCTCACCCAGGGATTTAATTGCTGCAGAGGTGACGTTCAGCTGCAGTGATACAAAGGAAGAAGTTGTAAGCCAAGATAGCAAGTACCACCCAAGGTAGAGATAAGCTGAGTATCAGTGTTAATTATTACACTTAGTCGTCAACTTACCCCTTCGTAGTTTGCGAGTATTTGCTTAAATTTCTCAGTGGATTCCTGTCCGCACATGCACTTATTTTGCTCATGCTAGAAAAATAAGATGGACTTCATTAGTTTGGGGGGTTAATTTTTAAAAATAAGAGATCGGTTTCTAATTACGCTGGAAATCACTGTATAGACCGAGACCTTGTTAAACTCTGGAAAAAGCTGCAGGTCCTTACATCAGACTGCAGCAAAGAACAGAGTTTACTTTGATAGACAGAGGGACAGGATAAATATCGTTCCTGAGAACCAACGTGGGAGTTGGCTGACGAGTGGCAAGTATAAAAATTTCTCAGCAGACATACGCACCCTTCGCAGCACGTTTCTCTGTACTCTTGTTAAGACCATTTTTACAAATAAAGATTTTGTAACTTTATAGACCCCTTAGGGTTGTTTATGCACCACGTACTAACAGCTGAAAGTAAACTGCAGCCATACCCCAGACTTACACACTGCCTGAGCTTCCTCTTCACGCTGAGGAAGGAGTTGGCTATGCTGCTGATCTTTCGGTTGACATACGAATCCTCGGTCTTGCAGTGTTTGAAGACTTTGTCCACGTAGAAGGTGAAGAGCTGATGGGTGATGCAGCATCTGTCGGAAGACTTAAGGCACAGATTTCATTTTCAAAAGGTCTTCCAAAGTGCTATAAACCTGCAGTCGCCAGCCTTTCTGCCCCCCTCTAGAATAAACCATCTCTAACACCAAGCACGGTAGCTGAGCACAGCGGGATGTTGTGACTCATATAAAGCTTTTTCAGTGATGCTTGATGTAAACTGAAAATATATATAGGAAATTATTTTGGACTGATTTTTCCAGGAGATCCATCCTTAGCATGTCTCATTAAGTCAACAAAAATAAATAGCTGATTTTGTAGCTGGGTATTAGAGGCTGAGACCTGAAGCAGTGGCCCATGTCTAGGGCTTTAGAGTGTAAAAGAACTGCAAAATACTTCTTTATAATGTATTTCACCTCCCAAGATCACATTCACCTGCTTTTGGATTCTTTAATAGCTCTCCACGCAAATCCTGATTCACCTTGCTATGCCTCCGCTGCCCAAGGTGGTGGGGAGCTGCAGCTAAAGCTCCCGTAACTGGAGCATCACATGCACCAACACACACACACACACACACAGACACACACACACACACACACAAAAAAAATCTCTGCCCACCATTTCTGGAAAGACAGTCAGGGTGAAAGCCTGGTGCAGGAACCGGCAGTGGGACACCCACCTCTTTTCGTGTACGTGATCCGCATCACTTTATCCTCCCTGACCTGCGCTGTCTGCCAGCGTCTGCGTTTCGCAGGAACTTAGAATAAGTCATGGTATTGAACAACTTCCGCAAAGGCCCTGAGCTGCTGCACCTCATCAGTGGGGTGAGGATGCTATAGCTGGTCAAAATGATCCAGAGGGAAAGGGGAGCCCCGGTAAGGACACCTACCTTAACCTTGTGCAGAGAGTGCGGGTGCGACAAGATGCTCAGAGTCCGGATGGGGTCCCTGGCTTGCTGCATGGGAGAAGACAGAGACGGGGATGTACGTGCTGGCTCCAGAGGGGCTTTGGGAGCAGCCGACTAAAGAGCTTCCCCAGCTCCACCAGAGCCTGGAGCAATACTTACGATGTTGGCTTTAATTGCCGAGAAACCGGACCTAATCTCGGTCACGCTCAGTGAAATCTGGCAGGGTCCAAAGTGGAAGGTTTTGTTCCCAGCTGTCGGCATCAAATTCAACCAGCACGAGATGGAGAAGAGGCAGAGGAACAAGTGGGATCCCTTCATCTTGCTGCGGGTTGAAGACACGGCTGGCTGCCTGGGAGACCTGGGCAAGGAAGGCAATGTTGCCTGTCTTTCCTAAATAACACAATTGTAACGCTTATGAAAATATACATATTTTACATAGTACTTGTACCTGTACATCTGTATTAAAAAAACCCCAACACACTAACTGGTATCTCTTACCCATCTCTTCTTTACTTCCCATGTGCAAGAGAAAAAAATCAAATTAAACCAAATATTTAACAGAAGATCCCAAGAAAGGCAAAAAAAAAAAAGGAGGAAAAAAAAAAAACAGTAAAAGATTGCATGTAAATAGACAAAGTTCTTCTGAAAAATTTCCATCAGAAAAATAAACACAAATAAATTAAATATTTAAAAGCAGCATGAGGTAACTGTGATGGAAAACAGCAGACCCCAAAGTCTGATCACAAAAGAAAATGCTTTCCCTCTGAAATAGCATACTTCAAATATGAGTTTTGTTAGCACTGAAAATCAAGGTTATCACTGGAAAAAGTCCTTTCAGAGACACACTATAGGAACACAAGGAAATACACAGGAGTGCATAGAGCAAAAGCATAAAGTCAGTGTTTTACCTCCTCCTTTGACGTGGGTTCACCTGTCCCGCTGACGTCTGACCTGAGGAGCTCTGAAGAACGTGTTTTTATCCAGGTACTGGGAGGAAATAACTCTTGGATTAACTTTTGGGATTTTTCTTGCTTTTCCCAGCATGTATTTCCCTTTGTAATTTACTGAATTAATGAGCTAGTGAAAGGGACCAACTCTCTCACCCACACGTGTTTCCCTTCGCTACGGAGGCGGGAAGTCTTGGCATTGCCGTCTCTTTTTTCATTTGGGAAGAAGGACGCGACCAAAAGGAGGGACCATCATGGGGGTTACATCTCCGAAATACCAAGCTCAGGGGCTGCCCCCGGCATGGAGCCAGGCTGCCAAGCCCCTCCTGGAGAGGGACCATTCCCGGCTCCCGCAGAGGCGTTGGGGTGCGGGAAGCCGAGTGGCATCACCATGGTCCAAACCCCCCAAGGTGGGAGGGTTTCTGGCAATAGGACATGGCACGCTAGTAAAATAACGTGACTCAGAAAGTTGGCAAGACCTTTCTCCATCACTGTCCTGGCACACGGGACCTTCACCCTCCAGGTACGGGGGACCCTGCTCTCAGGCTTGCCCCTCAGGTGGGTGGACACTTATCTCCATCAGCACATCCCTGGTATTTGGAGACTGGAGATACCCGGGTACGAGAGGGCAGGGCTTTGGGATGATGCAGCTCCCACCTCAGTGCCGGAAGAAGTCACTCGGTTTTCAGGAGCACGGGTGACTTGGGTGATCATTATGCACGGTCCAAAGCTACCACCCTGCAGAAGGACAGAAATTTCACTCAAACCTTTAAAAGTCCACCAACCCAGTGACAGCAAGCGAAGACTTTGACTGCAAAGTCTATGATTACCCTGCTGCAAGCATTAGCTGCTGGGAAAAGCTGATGCAGCCAAGGTCCTTGAGCAGACCAGGCACGTTCTCGTAGTGACATTTCAGATCCAGACTGTCCCCAGGGTACCAGGGTTTGGAAGCTGGGGCATGCCACCGCACGAACATGGCAGTACTGGTGCAAACCCCAGGCTGGTCCACCATGCTTTTGGCTCCGGGGCTAGTTTGGTTGTTTCTGTAACCCCTCTGGAGTTAGCCAGGTTCAGTCTGCAAACAAAAACGAGCAGTTAAAAACACTTCTTGGACTACCTGTACCCAGTGGGGAAGGTCAGATGGACTTAGAGGGCATGGAGGTGGCAAAGGCGCCCCTCTAACCCCACAGCCAACCTCTGGAGCAGCCACGATGCTCTGGGTGAGAGCAGCAGCCTGTGTGCCTGGTGCAATGCGAGTACATCTTGTGTGCCCTTGCCTGTGGGCTGTTATATGAAGTTTTGCTGGGTGAGTAATTTATTGATCACCAAGCTCGATCTTGAGCGTATATCCGTCATCGGGGGAAGACTAGGCAAATAGATTTTATGCCCAGGCTAGTCATAGTATTGCACACAGTATTGCTGCAACTACCCCAAATGCACCAAAGAGGCCTCCCTCATCCTCGTGCCTTCGCACTGTAAAGCAGCCAAAAGGCAGGTCCAAATCCGCAGCAGGTTGCATTTGCCCTTGCTGAGGTGCTGGAGGGATCCTCATGCCCGACAGTCCCTGCCTTCCTCCCCCAATTCCCAGCTGCTGCCTGTAATTGCAGCAAAGTTTCTCCTGGAGCAGAGGAAGCGGCACCGGCAGCGTTCCCAGGCAGCCCGGTTCACACCCAGCCTCGGTGAGGAAACGAGGGAAGAGGCAAGGAGTTCTTACTTAATTATGTAAATTGCAGATGAGAAGAAGGGATTTCTTCTTTTTTTCCTTTTGGTAACTGAACTGACGCTCAAGACAGGTCAGCTGAACGCCAGCAGGCAAGAAACCATCACGGGTTAAAAACTGCCAGCCAGGCTGGCGGAGGGAAGATGCTGGGGTGAGATGGGGACAGGAGTGCAATGCTCTGTTACCGGGGTCCGGGGTCTTGCTCCATTACAGACCCCTGCATGGTCCCAGGCGGGCGGCCCGTGGCCTCTCTGTCCTGTCACTGCCGAGCAGAGGCAATAGCGTGACCCTTGCCGTAAGGGCAGGGAGGAGGATAACCACGTCCGAGGGGGCGAGACAGCCCAGCTACTTAAAAATCAAAAATTAAAAATTATTAGTGCGGTGGCAGCGATTGATTACCCCAAGTGCTGGGCGCGGGGGAGGTCCAATACCCTCGCTTTTCGGAGCAGGTGGGATGGCATCCGCAGGGATCTCGGCGTGCACTGGACCCAGTCCTGATGGAAGCGGAACACCCCGGCGTGGCTTTTCCCAGGCAGCCTGCCTACGGGACGCTCATCTACCTGCCAGCTACAGTGACATGAAAACATCCTCAATAAAACAGCAAGGCATTTCTCATATGCTCTGGGAAGGAAGAGGAAAAGGAGAAACAGGGATTTCTGAAACACAGTAGCGTGACGATGCAGATGAGCTCAGATGTAAAATGGGAACTGACTCCCCCGGGCGCTTTCCGAATAATTAAGCCTTTCGCATGCTGCAGCGCTGGGGAGTGCGCTGGGAGCAGGGAAGTGGTCCTCTCCCTGGGAACCCTGCCAGGCAGCTCCCAGCTAACGGGAGGGCTCCTCCCTTGGGATTTATGGCAGGCACGTTGTGGCAAGGCACACTAAAAGTAGTTGCCACCCAAATAACAAGCAAAGGCGGCATAGAGGGTTGTTAGCCAGCTGCCACCATGCTAGGGAATTAAAAACTAAGCCCGGTATATCATTAGCCCGTCACTTATATAAACTCCGACGCTCAGCCTCGCCCCGCCACGCAGACGGCCGCGTTCCCATCACCGCAGGGCTGGCATCGCCGCTGTGGCAATGGAACCATCTCGGTAGCAGCAGAAAGCACCAGGCTGCGGCAGACGAATGGCTTGTTGAAGTGATTAATGAAGCAGGCGTTCGTGTTAAGCCTGGGAGTATGATGGGAGACAAGGGTCCTGCCCACCGACGGCCGGTGAGGTCGGGGAAACCCAGCAGCAGCTCCCGGCACTGCTGGAGAGCCATGCCCCGTGCACGCCGCTTACCCTGGGCGACTGCGGTCCTGCTCAGCATGACCCGCTGCTGACCCAACTCCACATTTATTCGCTTCAAATATCCAAAAGCTTTTGGTTTATCTTAAAAAACAAAACAAAACAAAAAAACCTTAACTTAGAAAATAAATAATCAAACTGTACTGATCAGCAGGAGCCTTGCTGTCAAGAACTGACCACAGGCACACGTTAACACTAGATTTCCAGTAAACACTTTCGGAGTCATAAGGTACCAGTTTCAATAGTGCGTTTCAATTTAGTTTCCTGCTGTAAAACGATCTGATAATACTTTACAGACCATTCTTGGTCTGCCATTCCTTGTCATTACTCATGTTTCACACCAGCTTTAGGTACACCAGCGTTTCAGATATGAAGCTGATAATGGTTTGTACACAGATCCCCAGAACTAGACAAGGTGAATGGTAGAAATGCCTCCAATAATTTTAATAAAAGAAAAATCGAGGCCTAATAACAAAGTCCAGCAACAACATCTGATCTCAGGAACTCTTCCTAAGAGGAAAAGGTCCAGAAAAAACCACTCAGCCACCTGGAATAAAAATGCTTGTAGGATTTTACATCTCTCCTGGTAACACTATAGCTCACCAAAGCCCTTGCCAAAGGAACGTAATTCTCTTTCCACAGGCAGCAGAAAATGCTTCCACTTGGTTTTTTGATGCACTAGAGCAATTTCTTACCCACGTGCAGTGGCGTGGATGGTCAGACAGCCCCATCCCAATCATAGCTGGGCGTAAGGGGAAGATTGACTATAGCGGTGGTGCTGTGCTGCAGCTCTGAGCAGTTCTCAGCACCTTAAAAATCAGAGGTTTAATTGTCAAGCCACCCCCTGGCCCGACAATCCAGGGCCATTTCAAATCTCATCTGAACAAGTGCTAACCTGGCACCGTCCTCTTGACACCCAGGGATTCACACCAGCGCCCAGACGGGTGTCACCCG